AGGGTGGCCTTGATTTCATATGTAGCCTATGCTGGCCTCAAACTTGTGGCACTTTCCCTGCCTGAGCCTCCCAAGAGCTGGGATTATAGGCTTGTGCCATCATAGCCAGCTCACAAATGTATATTAAGGATTCAGCCACATAGAGAGAAAGGCTCTAGGGGATTAGCCCTAGAAGGTCCTTTTTTTAAAAAAAAAAATTCCTAGAGAAACAACGTAGCATGTGATCTATTTAGTCCATATTGGCAGCCAGGCAGTGTCAATATTATTTTCTCCACAAAGGTGTGTGGTGGGGTAGCTACGAATACTCACAAAATTGTCCATATTACACAAGAGATCAATGCTAAAACTGTTGAATGTTTTTAGCTAGGGAACTTCATCAGATGTTTTGGGGTATGCCTAATCTATAATGTTTCACCTCATAAATGTGTGCAAAAGAATCCATTTTGTTTTCTTTGTCTTGACTAAAATTTGTACTTATACTTGAAGCTCTGATGTTTGGTAATTTAGCCTTTTTTTAATTTTAAAGAGAATAAAACAAAACGGAACAAAGCAGATCAGAGCAAAACAAATGCAAACAACATAGGACTTTAGACAAAGACAACAGGAAATAAACAGTGGCTAACAAAAGCGTTATTTAGCCTTAAAAGGACTAAGCAGATCTGTAGAGCTCAATCTCCTGGCAGTTATGGAGAAAGGTCCAAAGAGGACTTTGTTGCCAACAGTGACAAGGTGTATACCCATTCATCAGTCCATTTATTCACACATTCATTCTGCAAGGAGGTTTTTTTGTTTTGTCTTTTTGAAACAGGGTCTTGCGCTAGGGATTTAGCTCTGGCATAAGTGCCTGCCTTGAAAGCATGCAGTCATGAGTTTGATCCCCAGTACCACCCCTCCCAAAAGGTATCCTATCTGAAACACGTCCTTGCTATACAGTTTAGGCTGGCCTTGGACTCACTGTGCAGCCCAAGCTGGTCTCAAACTTGCAAACAATTCTCTTGCTTCAGCCTCCCAAGTGCTGGGATTGCTTGTCACCACATCCAGCTCTTCAAGTAGTTAAAGCACAAGCCTCAAACCAGGCACTCACTGCACTCACACTGCACATGTAACAATTGGCTCAAGAATGGTCATATTCCCAAGTCAATGGAAAGCATTGAGGATTTCCTGGAATTGTGAGGAAAAGGCAGCTGTCTGGACTTGATTAGCTAAGAGGGCTGAGTTAGTGTTGCTTATAGCCATCTAAGTGCTTCTTGTGTAGGCCCCTCTATTAACCTGTTTTGGCAGAAACCAGAGCTCTGATATGGTAAGCATTTTCCAGATATTACTGAGACACAAATATTGTTGTTCCTCAAGCCAGCTGAAGAATATGATTGTATGTCAGGTAGAATCTTGTCACTTCAAGATAATAAAATTTCAAATGCTGTAAGAACAAAACCTGAAACACACACACACACACACACACACACACACACACACACGCATGCACACATACTATATAACTGTCCTTTCCTCTCCAATGTCCATGCATCCATCACATTAATCTGTACTATCTTTCAGGTCACAAAATTGGAAGCCACAGACTATTTCATTTTTTACCTAGAAATCAGAATACATGACTCCATTCTCCTTACAAAACTGTAGCTATCTTTCAAAGTTCAGGGAAGAAAACAAAAACTCCTTTGAGTATTTCAAGATATACAAGGCAGGAAGTTAACACTTTCAAAGTTGTTAAACCAGCTAGAAAAGCACTGGGGTCAAGCTAAATCTGCATAAGTCTGAACCAGGGATGGAGAAATCTGTGCTGCTGTTACCAATGCTTCTTCTAGCCACAGGACTTGAAACTAGACATTGGAATACAGTTCAGCTGCAGTACATATAACTGAATTTGCCTGTTTGCTTTACCTAGAATACTACCGAAAACACACGCACACACATGTATGGCACATCCATAGATGCACTAATGCTGTACAATTAATATTCATCACATGCTTAGTGCTCATCTTTTTGGATTCAGATTAACAAACACACCCACAGGTTGGTATATTCTTTTTCTTTTTTTTTGCCTTTTTGAGACAGGGTCTCTCTAATGGCAGTTTGGGCTGGCCTTGAACTCACTTTGTAGCCCAAGCTGATCTCCAATTTGCAATGATCCTTCTGCCTCAGCTTCCCAAGTGCTGAGATTACAGGCATGTGCCACCATGCCCGGCTTCTAATCTCTTAATTACCTTCTCACAATACTTGAAAAAGTTGTTTCAAATTTATTCACTTTGTCCTTTGTCAGGTATCATCCAGGAGAAAAGGATACATATGTGAATTTTTATTACAACATTTACTAAATGTGCTTTCTGGACAAATAGCATTAGCATCATCCAAGAATTTATGGAAATGTAAATTCTTGGCTTCACCTCTTATCAACTAAAACAAACTATGGGGGTGCAGCTTAGCAACCAGTGTTTAACAAACCTTCCTGTTGATTCTGATGTATCACTGAAGTTCGATAAGCATTTGTTATATCTTAACCCACAGTACTGTGCAATGTGTATGAGTGATGCTCAACAAATTTTCTTCAAATAGTGAATTAAGCTAACTCAAAGTGGACTGTAAATTATGCTCACCAAAATAATGATTTCATTACAGAGATGAAGTTATTTTTCTCTAGGATGCCATCTTGCAGTAATGACTAAAACTATAGCTAAAATTAGTGAAAATTTTCACAAGAAAGTCACATGAAAACTAAAGTAGTCAATGCATAACTAAATATATTCATATCCCATTAGCTAAAAATAATTTCTAAGTAGGACTCAAGCTGCAAGCTACTGCTGTAAGAAATATATCTGTCTCCTCCTGTATAGAATTTTGTTTACAAATAATACCAATGCGAAGTTTTACATGTAATTCCTATATCCTTTATGTTGTTCTATAATTCTTGTTGTCTAGCAAGATAACCCTTGGTGAACACTTTGCTGTATTTATGTCAGATTTCTCTTCAGTGGGAGGGATGTACTTTAATTGGAGGACTTCCCATGTGTAATTTTCTATAGGTTGTCTCTTGTACAGGTTTTTAAGACATTCATATCGCCTATGTTCTTTCTCATATTTGTTATATGTAGTTGTCTGTAGTGTGGATTTAACTAAGGAACAGAACTGATACTGACAAAGACTTTCTGCATCCTTATAGTTTCTTTACAGTATATACTCTGATGGATAATAAGGTTGTATCATTACTAAAGTTCATCCCACATTCTTCTTCAATAAAAAATTTCTGATACTGAACTAGAGAGAATCTGTGGCTAAAGTTTATTATAACAAATATTGTTTCAAATGCTGGAGAGGCTGTGGGGAAAAAGGAACTCTCCTGCACTGTTGGTGGGAATGTAGACTGGTACAGCCTTTGTGGAGGTCTGTCTGGAGATTTCTCAAAAAGTTGGGATTGGAAATCCCATTTATTCCAGCTATTCCACGTCTAGGCATATTCCCATAAGAACTGAAAGCATCATACCACAGTGATATATGTGCACCTATGTTTATAGCAGCACAATTTGTAATCGCTAGATCTTGGAAACAACCCAAGTGTCCATCAACTGAGGAATGGATAAAAAAGTTGTGGTATTTCTATACAATGGAGTATTATTCAGCTATAAAGAAGGATCACATTGAGATATTTATCAATAAATGGGCACAGCTTGAGACCATACTCATAAGTGAAATAAATCAATCTCGCATGTGTGAATACCGAATAGTTTCCCTAACGTAAGTAATGATTCAAATATATAAAAATATGTGGTAATCATGATTCCCCATTAGGTGGCCTTGAAGCCTTATAAAGTTTTCACTTATTAATTGGAAAGGCTTTATTCTGGGCTTCTTGATATGGAAATATTTGAAGCTATAGTATATGAAGTTTTATCCAAATATTTCAAGGAAAAAGACAGACACTATGGTAACTACTATTAAGTCAGGTTATTTGGTGGTGAAGCACTAGGTTGCTGAAACAGTCATGCTTTGACCTCTATTGTTATATTGTTATGTCCTGTTTTATCTCAATCTCTCCCTTATTCTTTAAAAAAATTATTTAGTTATTTCTTATGTTTGTTTTAATTAAGGGGAAAAATTTAAAAAATTAGCAGGATATATAATAGTAACTCTTTTTGATTTCCTATTAACTTGTTTTGAAGTCCTGTAATACTCCCACGATCTTGTTTTGACTGATTAGACTCTGTTCCATTCTGTACGATAGTATCAAGTTTGAGGGTATAGGCAACTACTTTGAAGGCAATAAGATTCACTAAGATGCCCATTCTGGTTTGACTATTGTCTCCTTTGGAAGTCCTCTAATGTTTACAATGCCTAAGTTTTATTGTTCTTGTTCTCTACTGTTTTGTCCAACTTTATAATATCTAATGAGATAGACAATTCTTTTTAAGGAAACAAGAGACAACGTTGATAACCATTGTTGATAACCTTGTACTCTGTTTTACATCATGAGCTATGTCTATCCTTGGTTTTGACTGACAGCTTTGTTTTGCCATATTTGACTTTATTCTCCCCCCCCCAAAGTAATAAGAACTAAGGAGTAATAAAATCCAAAATGTGTAAATTTTGTTGTAAAAAAGAGAGGGGGGAAAAAGCGCTCTAACGGATATAACAACAAGTGTGTTTAGGGGTGTTAAATAGTTGACTATATTAATGTTTTTGGATCATTGAACACAGCTGTTTGCAGTCTCTCTGTTTGAATGTCCACTTTGTAATCTTTGATACTGCGATTTGAGCAACTATTTCTAAGATGATAATATGTAATCTATTAACAGGTGATTTCTTACTGTTTTTTTTTGTAGTTCTGTATTATGTGTACCCTTATACCGCTTTGTTTTGTGTTTTTCTCTTTTTCCTTTTAAATAAAATTAAAAAAAAACAAATATTGTTTCATATATTTTCCCTCTCATATGTCTTCTGACATGTATAGTGATTTATTTAGTCTAAATATTTTTTCCATGTTCATTGCACTACTCTCTTTTTTCCATGTTCATTGAATTTCTCTCCATATGTGTTCTTTGATGGGCAGTAAGATTTGAACCCTTACTAAAAGCTTTCCCACATTCATTACATTTATATGGCTTTTCTCCAGTATGAATTCTTTGATGTACCATAAGGTTTGAACTACAACTGAAGGTCTTTCCACATTTAATACATTCATAAGGTTTCTCTCCAGTATGAATTCTGTGATGTTGAAGCAGGGATGACCTGTGACTGAAGGCTTTCCCACATATACTGCATTTATAAGGTTTCAACCTAATGTGATTTCTCAAATGCATATTCAGTGATTCAGGATGGCTGTAGGATTTGTTACATTTCTGACATTCAAAGTGTTTTTCTTCAGTATGAATACTCTGATGTTGAGTAAGAAATGAGAGACTACTAAAGACTTTCAGACATCTGTCACATTCAAATTGTTTCTCTACAGTGTGAATTCTCTGATGTCGAATAAGGTGTGAACTGCAGCAAAAAGTTTTCCCACATTCACTGCATTCATAAGGTTTCTCTCCAGTATGAATTTTCTGATGGTGAATAAGAGATGACCTATGAATGAAGGCCTTTGCACACATTTGACACTCATAAAGTTTTTCTTGAGTATGAATTCTCAGGTGTTCAATGAGATGTGAAACATGACCGAAAGACCTTCTGCAGTTCATACATTCATATGGTTTCTCTCCAGTGTGAGTGCTATGATGATTAGTAAGAGAAGAGACATGACTAAAGGCCTTTCCACACTCAATACATTTGTAAGGTTTCTCTCCACAGTGGCTTATCTGATGTCGAGTAAGAGATGAACCGTGGCTAAAAGCCTTCCCACACTCATGACATTCATAGGGTTTCTCTCCTGTATGAATTCTCCAGTGGCGATTAAGAATTGATTGTTTGCCAAAACTTTTCCCACATTCACTACATTGATAGATTTTCTCTCTATTATAAGTCTGATGAAGGGTAAGAGATTTGCTCTGGCTAAAAGCTGTCACACTTTCATTAGAATCCAAAACTTTACTTCTGTCATTGCTTTTCTCATTTTTTATAACTGACTTTTTGTATATACTTTTCTTTAACATACCATGTTTATATTATTTCTCTTCAGCAGAAATTATCTGTAGTTCAGAAAGAGTAGCATTTAAATGGAAGCTTCTTTTGAATGTATTGCAAATACTTTCTTCAGCTGGGCTTTCTCTAAAGGTGAAGGTCACTGGCTTGAAATGTTCAACCTGATGTCTATGTTTCCCCTCCATCTTCTCTACATATTCCCAGTCTTTGTTAAAGTTTGAAAATTCACTTTTTTAAAAAGTATTTTCTATTACTAAAGCTTGGGGTGAATCTTCATCATAAATATCCTTTGTTGATACTTCCTTGTTATCCCATTTTGATTCCCAATCTGAAATACATCAAGAAAGCAAAGCATTGCTTTTTCTACAGTTCATGAAGAATAACTACTATGGAGAATAGGAGAATTACACAAGAAAACCCCTAGAAAACATCTGGCTCTGCTAGGCATAGTGGAATCACAGTTACTGGAATCACAGTTACTCAAGAGGATCATGAATTCAGGCCAAATAACATAGGGAGACCCAATCTCAAAAAATGAATAAAATTTTGATAACTCATTCATTTTCATGATTTCTGAACAATGCTCAGGTGGAACACAGAATACAGACAGCTCCCAGGAACAGGAATAGAGGATGACAAGGGAGATGGGAAAAATATATACAATGGCATATGGGAAAAAAATCTGAAAGAAAATGTGGAAGGTATTCTATATTCCTAGCCATCATTCTGTGCTTATATTTTTGTGAAAGATCACATTTTATCTCATAACTTTCTCTAACTTTCAATTTATCTTAATTTGCTGCCAGATTAATGCACTTTTGTATCAGACAGTTACAATGACAACAAAATAGTCTAGTATGTCTTATGGGTTATAAAGATTTAGGCTTTCCACGTTTATGCAGTATCTCTGTGAAATGATGATAATGTACTGAACACTGGAAAATACCATTCCTAGAAACATTTTAATACATGCCTTAATTTTTCTAACAATATGAGCTATAAAACTCAACCTTAAGAAAAGTGATTTTTAAATCTAATTGATAAATTTTCTTAGCTTAAAACCATCAATATGTCCATTTCCTTACATAGGTTAAAGAAAAAACTAATTTGCTTTATTTTGTTTCAGATAAAACAACAATTTGAATTAGTACAATAGCATAACACTTCCCCTTCAATCACATGCATGAGTAAGAGACATAACAATCCATGATTGTGGAATAATAAGTTGGAAGTCTAAACTAAGAATCACTAAATGTTTCTTTTACATACAGGATCTCTACAGGCAGTATCCCTAAAATACCTCCACACTCACAACAAGCACTATCTCTGCCTGATTATAAAACTCACTTAGAAACATACCTTTTGATAGTTTTTTCTCCACCATCCAGGGTTCTTTTCCATCCTCCAATAAAGAGATCACATGTGGCTTAGTTATGGAAAGACCTGCTTACAAGAATAACATTGTTTTTTTTTTCCTTTTTTTTTATTTAAGAGGAAAAAGAGAAAAACACAAAACAAAACAAAGCGGTGTAAGGGTACACGTAATACAGAACTACAAAAAAAACATAACAGTAAGAAATCACCTGTTAATAGATTACATATTATCATCTTGAAAATAGTTGCTCAAATCACAGTATCAAAGAATACAAGGTGGACATCCACAGTCCTCCAGACACACAGAGAGGCCGATGCAGGCACCCCAGATCTGCCCAGCTCCTCCTCTGTACACTGATGGCTAGGAGTGGCCACAAAACAGGCTGGGCTCGGCTGATAGTGTGGGCCGGCCCACCCGTCGGGAGCTCAGCAGTTCTCCAAGTGTAACCGGAATGGGGAGGCTGATGTGGAAGCCTCAAACCCACCTATCCCCTTCACTGCACCTGGAAGCCTGGGGGGACTCCAACAGTCTGGGCGGAGATATCCAGAGTCCTCCAGACACGCAGAGAGGCCGGTGAGGGCACCCCAGATCTAAGAATAACATTGTTTAAGTTGTAGTCCTTAAGGATGAGCGGCCATCACAAAAGAAATCAAAGAAAAGGCAGAAGGATATTCACTGAAATGAGATGATGAGCTTTAGGGAAGATGGTACAGTAATTTGGCCATTTACTTAGGAGACCCTCCAGCAATTCAGAGTGCAAACAAAAGATCTCTCCTACCATAGAAGAGGGAAAGATATCCTTACCTAGAGAGGCTAGATTCTTATAATTTTGAACCATCACATTCTTGTATAAATCCCTCTGAGCAGAATCTAGCCATTCCCACTCTTCATGAGAGAAGTCTAGAGCCACATCACTAAACGTGACCTGAAACAGCAAAAACATTTAGGTTTAGCCATGGCCTAAGCCTCTTCTTATATTATACAAGGGTAAAATTATCCTGGTTGTAGAAGGAAGTAAAAGAGATTCAGGTCTTATGATTCTGGAAATCAGATTTGTTACATAATAACTAAATAATTATGTGCTTGACAGTAAGAATAAGAGACAAGTATACGTGTTTTGCTTCATAAGAATTAATTTTGTCAAAAAGAATACAATCATACAAATTTTTAAAATTAGTAGTTACTGCACAGGGCACAGTGGTAGGCACCTGTAATCACAGCACTCTGGGAGGCTATGACAAGAGGACTGCAAGTTTAAGCCCATTCAAGGTAGAAAGTTTGGTTACAAAGTACTGCATCGGGCCGTGTATATCAGTGCACACCCAAATCCATGTAAGATTTTTCTTAATGGCTATTTTATAGATGTTCAGAAGGTAATTCAATGAATGATTTTGGTGTTAGTTCACTTTATCTTTTCCTTATTAGATAAAACTTTTAAAAATACTTTACATAATTTTATTTTTAATTTCAATGTAATACAAGTAGATATATATTAACAAAAAATATTAAAAAGTACTTATTTCTATAAAAAACCAGAATTTTGGCCAGGGTTTAGCTTGTGCCTTCAAGCACAAGGTCATGAGTTCAATCCCCAGAACTAAAAAAAAAAGTTTCATAACAAATTAGAGAATAACTATAGTGTACCATAACTTTAAAAGAATAGGCAAAATATTACTTAGAATACAAATCATAGACAAAAAAGACTACCTTACAAACAAATGACAGATAATAGCACAAACCTTTCTTTTCAATGAACTAAGAAAAACTAGGAGTATAAATGAAAGAAATTAACATATATTAGAATGGGCATCATAATGAATTTCACTATCTTCACAGCTGTTGCCTAAACTTTCAAACCTGGTACTATCAAGTAAAACAGAATAGGGGGACATCAGTCAAAAACAAGATGGTGAGAGTAATACAGGGCTTTAAATCAAGATAATGGAAAGTCAAAGTGGGTTACTATAATATATCCTGCTGTTTTTAAATTTATTTTTCCCTTAATTAAAAGGATAAAAATAAAAAAGTAAATAATGAAGTGGAGATTGAGATAAAAGAGGGCATAACAGCAAAACAGCGCAGATCAAAACATAACCATTTAAGCAGAATAGTGTTTCACCACCAGATAATCCTGACCTAAAGGTAGTTACCATATTATCTCTTTCCTTGAAATCTTTGAGTATAACTTCGTATACTGTAGCATCAAATATATCAAAACAATGTAAAACCATTTAAGAGAGTGACAGCATTACAGGGTATTTAGAATCAACTAACAGAAAATGAACAATGGTTTCTGTATAATCTCCTTGTCTTTAAAAGTTTTTGCTTATACTATCATACATAATAAAATCCAATAAGATACAACCTGTTTAGACCAATGGAGACAGAAGAACAAAAGCTTGATGAGACTTCAAAACAAGATGATACTAAATCAGTATTACCTATTAAGACATCATTTTCTCCAAAATAGCTGTTCCTATCATCCAATCTTCTCTGCCTCATTTCTGTTGAGCTCTTTTTCTGTCATTAGTTGTCAGTTTGTCCTCTTCATTTCGATTTCTGCTCCATTCATTGTGGCCTCTCTGCCACTATTTCTGGAATCTTGGTATTTTTTATTTTTAGAATATCCTTCAGTAATCTCTGTAGAGTTGAATTGGTGGTTGCAAATTCCCCTAGTTCATCTTTATCCTGGAAGCACCTTGTTTTTCCATCAATTTCTAGGGACAGTTGTGCAGGATATATCAATCTTGGCTGGAGGTTATTATGTTTCAAAGCTTGAATTATTTATCCCCACGCTCTTCATGATTTGCTGGTTTGTGCCAAGAAGTCTGCTGTAATTCTGATGGGTGTTCCCTTGTAAGTGATCTGTTTCTTGTCTTTGATGGCTTTTAATATTCTGTTCTTGTATTGGATTTCTGGAATTTTGATTATTATATGCCTGGGTGTAGCTCTGTTTGGGTTGTAGGTGGCTGGGGACCTGTATGCCTCATACATCTGAGTATCTTTACCTTTTGCTAAATTAGGGAAATTCTCCTGGATTATTTCTGTGAATAGCTTTTGTAGTTTATTTGTTTGAGTCCCTACTTCTTCTTTTATGTTCTTAATTCTTAAGTTATGGATCCTCTTATCATCTTCTAGTCTTTGTATTATTGCTGTTTGTTTTCTTGTTATTTTAAAGAAGTTTTTCATTTCATGCTCCCACCTTACAAATCTGTCTTCCAGTTCTGATAATCTATCCTTAGTTTCTTTCAAGGTGTTATGCCATCTTTCAATAGAGTTTTTAGTTTCCTGGTAATCTCTTTGAACCTGCTTCACGTGTTCTATGTTTTCTCTATTTTCTCCATCAACCAATTCTCCCCTTTTTTTCTGTTCTTCCATTCCACCATCTGTTTTTTCTTGGGCAGTGCTTAGCATTTCTCTAACTATTCTACTTATTTATTGCTTTATTTTATTAAATACTTCATTTTTGAACTCATCTATGAGGCTCTGGAGATATCACTTTATGTGTATAGGTGCCGTGTCTGATATTGCATGTTTTCTGTCTTCATTCTCTTTTGCATTTACTTTCCTGGATCAGTGTTCTCAGTATTGGGGACTGAGGACCTTTTCTTGTTGCTCCCTTTCCCCATACTTTTTGTTCCTTCCATACAAGCGTATGTAGGAGGCCCAGTTTTTTTTTCTCTTTGTCTGTTACAGTTTTTTTAAATCTGCTGGCTAGGTGTTCCCACCCACTGCAGTGTACTAGGGAGACACAGACTTGGGCAGCCTCTGCTGGGCCTGCCCCTCCAAGTCAACCTACTGAATGCTTCACTGCTAGGGTGCACCGCCAGGCATAGGGACCTGATTTGGGCTAGCCTACTGGATCTTAGTCTGCAGTGTCACCAGACCAAGTGCTCCCCACCACTCGTGCTTGAGAGGGGAATATGCAACTAAAGTCATTGCAGGGCCCTGTTCCGGCTAGTCCGCTCGTTCCCAGAATGTCCTCTGTTAGAGCCTCCTACTCTATGAAAGGGTCCCCATTTCTTTCACTCACTGCAGGTCTATGCAGGGATCCTTTCCAGTCCCGCTCTCAACACCATTTGGTTCGCTGATTCCAGCTCTCAGAGCTTTTGCGCATTTCTCTCCCTGCCATGCAGATTGGGATGCAGTATCGGCAGCAGAAAATTCAAATTGCAGCTTCCAATGGCACGGGATCCAGCTTCTGCACTGAGATTTTATCTGTTCCTGTTATAGCATCAGGATTGCATTTCCAGTTGGTTTCTCTCAGCTTAGTTTGTTCCTGGGTCGGCAGGGTACATCTCCTGGATGTACCGCTCCTGGATTTTAAATTGTAATCTCAGAGAGCCTCTGTGGCTGCTGTTACTTGTCCGCCATGTTCTCTCGGAACTTGAAGTTCCAGGTAACAACCTAACTATCAGCACAGGTGTCCTCAAGCCTGGTGCATGTCGCTCCTTTCCCTTCTCAGTTCTTGCATTTTTGAGCATTTTTAGCTCAGTTGCCCATGACTATAGATCCCAAGAATATCGTGTGGCCTGATTGTCCCATGGTCTGATTGTCACAGTAGTTACTTACCAACTGAGATATTTCCTGTAAATTCATATAGGCGTTTTATCTCTGTTGCACTAAGGAAGGCCATTCTGGGGTGCATTACACACCTTCGGAGAACTAGCATTGCACTGAGTGCTTTGAGGACTTTAACCATCGCCCTGGGAAGAGTTGCTACTGTAACTGATCTACTTCTGTCCCCAGGAGCCTTTCTTTGGCTCACCCTTTGTCCCAGTCTACATAAAAGAGCGACAAACAACTATATACATGGGCCAGAGCAACCTATGTGCTGCCTTTTTAAATTAAATTTTAAATTTTTTTAAATTAAATTTTTTAAAATTAATTTTTAAATTAATTTTTTAAAATTAAATTTTAACATTTAAATAAAATTATAGAATGGCTATGAATTGTACATGACTAGCACTTGTGTATGTGATATTTGTTGGTGTTTCTTTGTTGGGATAATATGGATGTGATATTTAATTATTATAGCTGTTGTTTGTTTTCTAAGTAACATCAACTGGCTTTCTCTCAAGACTTAGAGTATGGAATAAGGAAAAGTTTGCTTACTGTCTCATATTTGCCTCTGCAATTTTCTCTCTCTTACTGCAAACTCTAATTTGTTATAAGTCAGATACTGCCACTCTTTATCCTCCAAACATTTTAAATCCTCTTTCATTTAATCTCTGTTGTAGACTGTGTACCTCATTGTGATTTACCATTCATAAATTCTTCTGTAGGGAATTTTTTTTAAAGTTGATTTTTCAAGCTTAGATATATTTGCTTCATAATATGTATCTGAAAATAAAAGTAGTTGAGTTTGTGGATCCTTTTGTAAATTTATATTTACAGTTATTCAGTTTGATTTTTAGTATTTTGAGTTTACTTTTTGTTACCTATCTCCAAACTTTGGACCTTCTCCATATGCTTGGCTGAAAGTGACTTCTAGGTTATATAATTTTAATTTAAGATAAGATCTGAATTACTAATTCTGTAGACCCTCTTTAAACTACACTTACAACATAATGTCTCATAGAAGACCCCTAAAATAGCTCTCCTTGAACGAAGAGAAAATAGCTCAACTTTAGCTAAACCTGGCCTTATCTCCATGTACTGATATGTACAGAGCTGGCAAAGCTATGTCCTTTTCCCTTCACTGGCTCTAAGTAATGTAAATAGGAATAACTGAGGTGTTAATGTGTAGTCTTTGATTCCAAGTGACAACTGTTTCCTCAGTTCAATCTCCCTCTAAAATGTTGAACACAGAGGGATGGCAGAGCCAACAGCTCCGGGATTGTCAACTGGGTTTGAGCCTCGAGATAGGAGGCTATGGTTTCCTGTGGCACAAAAGTTTACATATCGACTCGAGCCTCTGCCTGCAGCACGTCTGGGCCACCA